TCATGACAACTACTATGGCAGACGACTTCGGACTAGGTGCGTTCTACATGGTCTCCCTGAAAACAAGACACATTTTTTAAAGTTGTTTTTGTGCCGATTACAATCGACCACTTTACTTTTGTTCATAGCAAGTAGGTGTCGAGGCCCGGTTGAGTCGAGTGGTAACTACTCGGGTTCTAGTCCCGCTGACGAGTGGCGCGAGGCGAGGTCACTTTAGGGCCTGCGAAATGTCTGGGAATGTACCAAGCAGGGCTATATCTGCTTCACAAGGACTCCCCATTACTGAGACCAAGTTGCGAGAAAGAGATCAAACCAAATCTAAGGCCAAGGGCAATTCAGTGCAAACGTGAAAATGTAATCTTATGCGACCTGGGATGAGATTGGAAGTCCTGATTTTGTGAATGTACTTAACACGATCTTGCTTTCATGCCATTTATCTGGTGCGTATTTGGTATCATCAAAAGACGAAGTTCGAGTTCACACAGTCCACAAAACATCCTCCCTCGGTTCGGGTGTAAACGTGCCCACTTTGCAGAAAATATCACATTTATTTCTGACTAACCTCTTGATTATATGGTCTATTGTTATCGGTCAGATGCAATCAGTCTCGTCGAGCCGGACGTCAGCAGCAGCGCTTCACCGGTTCATGATTTAGTGCACGGCCGCTTCGCTCCCTTCAGCTCCCGTCCCCCAAAGTCGGCCGACCCTTTGACGAATGGTGGTATTGACGCCAAGATTTGTGCTGTCGCTGAGGGACGCCCGTCGCCAGAGACTGCCAATTCGCCCGGAAACGCGCAGAAGTCGGCCGACTCGGGGACAATGGCCGAGGAGTTGTCGTCCCTGTTGCCGCCACCGGAGAGTGTGCCGGGCGGAAGGAAGCGACCGCACAAACCGGCCTGGGCCAGGACGAATGTGAAGAGACGAAGTGAGACGCTTTCGAGCCAAATGATGGACGACTGGAGCAGAGATGAGTCTGAAAAAGAGGCAAGGGCAGACGATGATGATGCTGAGAGTGAGGCTGTGGAGTGGAATGAGAAAAGGAGAGGATGTGAGAGTGAAGAGGACGAGGAAGAGGAGAGGAGAGAGCCGAGCAGAGAGGCTGAAGAAGAGGAGGAAACCGGCGATTGGCAGCTTCCGGTCCAACTGAAAGGCTACTTTCGAGATGGGCTCCTGCCCGATGCAGAGACGTGGCAACGAAGCGCCGAACGACGTTTGCTCGAACAACCATTGTCCGCCCTGGCGACCCGACTGGAGGTGGGCGATGCCGACGAGATGGACGGCGATCCGGACTCGGACGTCGACCCGGCGGGTGAGATTGATTTGGAGTTGAGTCCCAGCGAAACCATCCACTTACGTCAGGCCAGACCTCGACGATCACGTACCACCTTCACCACCTACCAACTGCATACGCTGGAGTCTGCGTTCGCCGTCAATCATTATCCC